AGGTTGGAAAAACACGGGTTACAGGTTGCCTGGAACGCGGCATTAGACTAAAGCTGAATGTGTATTTGTTGTTTAAGTGCTGATTACTGTAGTCAATACACCTGTAGGAAGCATTCGCTGTAAATGTAATAGACAAATAAGCCTGGAAAGGCTCTGATGATCATATCTACAAAGATCAAAGCAAAGTACATTTAAAAATGATATGTTTTCTTCAGATTTTTACCGAGCTAACCTTCTGTCTTCTACTTTTCTCTAGCCTGGGCATCCCGAACCTCTCATTACAGAAGTGGCGCTGCTGCTAATGATGAGGCAAGAACCCATAAGCCCCTACGTCATACAGCTGTACGATTGGTTTGAACACCCTCGAAAATTCACTCTCATAATGGAGTTCCCTGAACCGTGCGAGAGCTTGCTGGACTTCATCACTCGTAATCCTCAACTGGATGAAACAACGGCACGGGTCCTCATGCGACAGGCTGTGCTGGCAGTGCAACACTGCATTGAGCGTGGCGTTTTTTCATAATGATATTCATGCGCAGAATTTCCTGTTGAGGAAAAACATGTTAGAGCTCAAGCTGATAGACTTCGGCAGCGGTCACCTACTTAGTGCTGACGGCTACGAGAGTGACATATACGTTGGTGAGCATTTTTGGAGTGTGGAAACCTGAATGTAGCGACTTACTGATTATTTGATGCTTTGAAAAAATTGCTCAACAATGTGCCAATGTCTTGCTTACAGGATTACTGGATCACTGCCCACCTGAAGTCCACACTGAACCTCGATTCCACGCCGTCCCAACAAATGTCTGGGCTCTAGGAGTGATGTTGTACGAGATGGTGAACGCATGTCGTCCTTTTCACAATCCAATGGAAATCACAGAAGCCAAAGTTACTTTTCAGAACTCCAACTTATCCAAAGGTGAGTGAATAATATTGAGAACATTGATAAACACACATAAAGCAGAGGCTCCGTACAGAAAGAGTTAAAGGTGAAGTACATAAGATTTATGTTAAAATACATTCTCTTCTCCCAGTTTATTGTTCATCGATTGCTATTAGTATGCCATTCATGGGTTTATCTCCCCCAAAAGTGTAAATATTGTATTCAAAGTATTAATATTGTATAACAAAGTATTCCTCATATGTTGGACCTGAAACATGCCTTCACAAGAACCAGTAAGAGCTGCGTTTGTGATGTTTGAGTTGAGGGAGGCGCGACAAGCAAAAGGGGCGTTTGGTTGTTTAAAAATATGCTGTATTTTTGTTATTCCGCTAGGTGTCACAGAAAATAAATACTTCACCTCTAAAGAAAGATAAAAACACTTTACCTTATATTAATCATGTTTCAGATGCTGTTTTCATAGATGCCACCATTCGTGTCACATGGTCAAGACTAACCAGCTCTCTCCTTAATAAAATGTGTACAGATTGCAGTGATCTGATTAGCCAGTGCCTAACCCTGGATCCCGCTAAACGCCCGACGTTAGAGCAGATGTTACAACATGAATGGATTAGAAATGATCAGGAGAAGTTCAGGAGATTCACTCGATCAGTGATTTCAGGTGTGAGGAAGTGTAACAGACAGAGTAGGATTATTATCATTTATCTTCAGTTCTGAATTATTTGTAGTGAGGTTTTCAAATTTGTGTTCATTGTAATGTTCTTGTTATAGTCAAGTCAAGTCAAGTCACCTTCATTTATATAGCGCTTTATACAATACAGATTGTTTCAGAGCGGAAAATAACAGAATCAGTGATGCAATTGTAAGAATTTAGTTCTGTTGTAAATCAGCTCTAAAAAAACATCCATGAGTTTGCATGTTCATATAATCTTTGTGTTGGATAGGAAATAACACACTTGCTGTCGTTGGTGGAGAGCTTGAGCTCGAGACGTGACCCGAAGCCTGAAGTCCAACCCCAACCTGACAGGAACTCAAGCCGCCACACCAGAGATCTCAGAGCCGGTCCATGTCTGAGCAAGAACATGAGAGACTGCAAGACTGGAAACAAGTCATCAAGTCATCACTATTCCTCAGTTTTCAGCATTTGAATGCTTGGTTTTGAGTATTTCTGTTACTTATTTACTTCTACAATCATTGCTTACCACCTAAGACTAAGTCACATGCAGTTTTTATGTCAGAATTTGCTGACTTTCTGTCAATGTTGACCCTGAAGTTCCACATAATTCTTATTGTCGGGGATTTCAACATTCATGTGGACCAAAGTGACTCTACGACGGCTATGGAATTTTTATCGCTACTTGACTGTTTTAATTTCTAACAATTTTTATATATATAAAAATATTGTGTACAGTGCTTTGAGAAGCTGCTTTTAAAGGTGCTTTATAAAATAAAGTTTTTTTATTATTATTATCATCACAGCCACATTTGCTTTGTTTGAAAAGTAAGATTTTTGCTTTGTTTTTAAAAGTCAAGACGAGTCATCTTTACTTATTTAGTGCTTTATATATGACCAATCTGTATATATGACACCTTTGAATAAATGCTTTCAATGAATACAAAAGAAGAAATGCTTTTAAACAGTCTCATTTTGTGCTTCCCGAAATAAAACCGTTTCAAATTTGGTTGCAAACTTCAGTTCATTGTAGAGCCTGTATTAAGCATAACACTACAATAAATAAGACTAGAAAAAATTGATAATATAATATAATTCGAATTATTAATAATTAACCTATTGGTTAATTAGGTTAAAGAAGCTATTATTGTATTATTAAGCTGAAAGTATACTTCGATTTTTACGCGCACAGTCGAACGCACACCCTTGCAAAGTATACTTCTTTTGACTCGTACATGTACACAGGCATTCAACGCATGCGCAGGTTTGAGCAATCTCTCGCCACGAGTTACAACCCATGTAAATATCTTTGTATTCTTTCCTGCTAGAGTTGTACAAATAAGGGGACTTTCTGAACCTCTTCGCACAATCTCTGGTCTATTTAGGCCTGCATTGTCGCTGTAGCTTGCATGCGTTCCAGTCTGTTCTGTTTATGCAGTTTTTCTCCGACTACCTTGTAAATCGACCCCCCTGGGGCACGGTTGCCACCTTGTGCGCATACAAAGTACTCTTCTGATGACGCAGTACGCTGACCCTCGCATACGCATAAAAAGTGAAGTATACATTGGCCTTTAGAAAGATTTAGATTTAATCTTGAAGCTTATAGGAATAGTACCCAAAAACAAATAAAAAATTCTGCCATGAAACTCTAGATGGCACAGGCTGATAGGTCCTTAAAGGTGCACTAAGCGTATTCCGAGAAACGCTGTTGAAAGTGGATCAGACCGAGCACCAAAACACACTTGTAGCCAATCAGCAGTAAGGGGCGTGTCCACTCATGAGGGGGAGGTCCACTATGCGACACTCACGCATAGCGTGTACGTGAATTTGAGGGTGGAGCTATCAAGATCAGGGTGTGATCCTTTTGGGTAGGGGCGTGTTTGTTTTGGTGATTTCAAATATCAACAGCGATCTCAGAAATCACTTACTGCACCTTTAACTCAATCTGCTTGCAATCACATCATTAGCCGCGTTTCCACCGCAGGAACTTTACCCAGGAACTAGGAACTTTGGCCTGGTACTCGGTGTGTTTACACCGCAGGAACCGGGGTCTAAATGAAGTTCCGGGTAGATATTTCCCCCTCCGAAAGTCCCTGCTCGCGAGGTAGTACTTTTTCAAAGTTCAGGAACTTTCGCGGGTGGGGCTTGTGCGCTGAACATGCTGATTGGTTGTGTTCACGCCGCATTATGATTGGATAACTCCACGCAGCATTTTATTTTAACCGGAATTTTTAGAATCTATTGCAGTTCGTGGCTTAATGCAGTAATGAAGTTCCATGCAGTAAGAGTTGTCTGTCTGCAAATATGGAATTTAATAAAAATAAAAAAGGCAGCTGGACCGACGACGAGATTCAGGCTTTATTAAGCGTATTTGCGGAAGATAAATTTTCTGCGCGTTCGTCCCAGCCTTCTCACGGTCAATGTCCGCAATAGCTGATAACATACGCTGTCTAATTTTAGATCTAACGTTAGCATTACGAGCTTTCTGAACACGCTTTAGTATCAGTGCTCGTCTCTTTTCTGCCGTTTTGTTAATTACCTGGTTAGTAAACCAATACATCTCAAACAACTGCAGCACAGTGTGAATCTCTTCCATATTTATTATAAATGTGGCGCTCAAAACTGATTACTGTCTTTTACAGTCTACTGTCCGTCACAAGCAAGCAATGAGCAGTCGCGCGCAGTTTACCCGGTACTTTAGACCGCGATGTAAACGCAGAAAGCTACCGGTCTGGGGCAAAAAAAGTTCCTGGGAAAAAAGTTCCTGGGACAAATTGTTCCGGGCAATTGCGGTGGAAACGCGGCTATTCATTGGTTTCTGCTGTATCAGTACCCAATGAGCTGGCATGCTCAACCTTCAAATACTTTGTTAGCATTTTCTGTAGTTGCAGAACGCTTTCAGAAACCCTCCACCTTTCCCAGCTCCACCTGTATCATTTTGGCGTGAACTAAATATGCAAGACTAGTCTTACGTCACTGTTTATAACACAGGGCGTTCATCCTTTGCTGGGCCGCTTTAAAAAAGACACTTTAAAAAAAACTTCTCCAGGCACCACTTCACTGCTGTTGGAGTCCATTGTTTTATTTGTAATAATAACACAAATAAATATGCCAAATTGTGTGGACATAATTTTTGTCCGGGCTGTTATACAAAGAAATTATGAACATGCAAAAACAAGAGAAAAGCAACTACATTTTAATTGATAATGGTGCAGTCAATGTTGTGCAAAAAGTCATGGCACGTGTAAATAATGTCGTTTTTACATAAATTACATAAATACAAGATATACATAATTTGGACGCAAATACTTATGCAGAGGCAGAAAACCTTTAGATGTGAGCTCAAAAAAGAAATCATGAACTTTCAACTTTCAAAATGCTGTGTTGGTTCGTCCTATAACGGCTGCAGTACTGAACACTGCCGGATTCTGTGCGCATGCGCAGTGAGAACAGCGAGCGGCGCTCAATGCTCGGGTTTTTCTCTCGCGAGGAAGGACGCCATTATCGGAATCCTCACAAACAACACGAGAATTCATCATTCACACGGTAATATAAACCATTCTGACACGCGACACGTCCAGCTCTCCGCGCGCGTCCAAAATATGGCGCTGTGCATTAAAGAAATAACCTTTTTCCTGCTGTTTTCCTGTCAACTGTGTCTTGCGTGCTATGAAGAGCACAAATGAGGCCTAGATGCGTTTCGCTGCTGTTGTTTTGAGCTGTTCGTTAGCTAGTTAGCCGAAGCTACATGAGCAGGTTAGCTGCACTGTGCTAACTGGATTAAACGCACTGGCCCTATTATTAAACTGTTCAACGATTTGCATCTTTAAAATTAGTGTTTTATGATTTTTTTTTAAATCCCGGAGCGTCCTTATTTTTTGTTTGTCCAAACACTCAGTGCTTAACTAGAGTTGAACTAAATTAACCTAGTTATAATCTCAGCAGCAGTTTCATATTAATTGAGAATCATGCATGTAAGTTACATTACATCGTAAAAGTACCACGATATATGGACATGCCTTCATGCTTTGGTGTATTGAGCAAATATTGCAAATAAATGTGCTAATCCATGCTTATAAAAAAAGTACAATGGCATTACCTTGTATTTTGGACATATGGATATTAAATACCCTGGGGCATGAATTTCAGTAAAAGTACCATGGTATTACTACTATCATGCTACGATATCAACACGACTGTACAATGGTGCCACAGTACTTTTTTACTACAGCAATGACTTTTCAGAATAGTTATTAAGTTAATTTTAATATATAAACAGACACACACACAGATTTGTTTTATTTACTACAATACTAATATCACACACACACACACACACATAGCCTACATATATATATATATATATATATATATATATATATAAACAAAAGTTTACATTTCTATCAATCTAAACTATATAGTGAGTATACATTTTTGGAGTTTTGCTCAAAATTGCCTATTTTATCGCCTAAATATTGGAGTAATAGTAATTGGAGTAATAGAAATTCATAGTAGGGACCCTGAACTATTTAAGAATGAAAAGCATATCTTAAAGATGCTTCTAGTAGGAATAGATCTGAAAGAGACTGTGTGTGTACCAGGCACTCATTTATCATATTTAATTATTAATCTTGTTGTTGTTATATAACAATTATCATTATTAAAATGTGCATTAAGTATTTATTATTAAATATAATTTTATTATTGTATTCATTTAATTTGTTTAGTTAAATATTATTTTAGTTAAATTATTTATTTAATAATGTAATTTTTATTATTTAATTATAATTTATTTAAATATTTATTTGCTAATTATTCATTATTTAATTTTTTTTTTTAAATTAGTGTCTCTTCAACAAAATTGCAATTCATTTTTGTGAAATGAAATAGGCCTACGTAACAAAATAAAATGGAAAAAAACAAGTGAGGTCACCTTCAGTACCACATGCCCCCTCAGGGGGTCTCAGCTGTCAGTTTTTTATTTTATTTTTTGGTGCCTGCAAATATCCAATATTTTATCTTGTGGTGGCTTGAATATAAAATTATATTAAAAACACTGTCTTAAAAAATGCAGAGTTTCTTTAAAAATGTATATTCCCTCCCAAAATAATAATGAATTAGCAAATAATTGATATTGGTGTTATTTTAGTATCGAGATCATTTCAAAAAAAAAAAAAAATGAGATCAAGTTTTAGTAATTTTGTGTGTTTTTATTATTTCTATTAGTTTAAATATGTCTGTATAGTTTTTATTCATGTTTATTTCAGTTTTAGTTTAAGTTGTTTTAATAAATCAAGTTAAAACGTAATAAAAAAAAAGAAAAAAGAAATGTTGCTTGGGAAACTATCTTTAAAAAAAAGGGTTTTATATATTTGAGTATATATATCAATCAATGTTTATTTTATTTCAGCTAACTTTTTTTTGAATGGTTTCAGTTGACTATAACAACCCCAATTGATATAACACAAGCCTCCCCAAGTTTACCAATGTCATGTTTCTGAAATGCAGGTTTGAATGATGTCAGAGCAGGATTTGGTGGAGATAGTCCAGATCGCAGTGGCGGACTTGAATCACGAAGGACACCAAACAGGTCGGTCCCCCTCGAAATCAAAGAAACATCTGCGTAATGGGTCATGCTGGTAGGGATGCACGATATAGCGCCCACCATATCGCTATCGGCCGTTATATGTTCATTTTTAATGTTATCGTAATCGGCCCGATAAGAAATTTAGGCTGATATCTTAAAGCTGATAAACAATGTATTATTTCCTTCAGCTGAGACACTTCAGATGCACCATGATGGTTTTGATCATCCCTAGTTTGTGATTTTCTGCTGTGCTTTTTTTGACGAAACTAGATATCCTGGAGAATAATGAAGACGCTGATCAACCAGGAAGGAAACGAGCAAGGATTGACATTAGTCAAGAAACAACTATTAAGGTAGCATCTTAACATTGTCAATAGAGATGATCAATTCATCTGGTACAGAATATAAACAGCTTATATAAGCATGGACGTTTGCAAAAACGGACGTTTTTTCCCCCTGTATTTGTCTATGCGTCCGCTCCCAGTCGATGCTGATATCCATCAGTCAGGTGATCTGCCAGCGGCTGGACAGTATGGAGGCGAAGCTGCAGGTTCTCGAGGCCACCTGTCGAGGTTTAGTGGAGAAGCTGGACATAGTGATGGGGAAAAACCAGTTGAACATCCAGGTACCCATGGTGTCAGGGTCCCCTTTTGGAGCCACTCAGACTTGCGACAAAGTACGCTGGTAAGTGGCCCGTAGATGATGCCGGGGTGTTTTATACAAGAGCACCTGGACTGTTTTTTTCCCATTTATTGAAGATGTTTGGCCTTTGTGTTTGGGTGGTTAATTCAAACCTGTTCACATTGAGCAACAGCTTGAGACTGATTTAATAAACTGATGAAAACAGTTAGTGGTGAAATGTCACAGAAAAAGTGGGATCAAGTACAGTTGCTCTTTATTTGGGATTAAATGAAGATCCGCGTGACTGAAAACCTTCAAATACACTTGTTAGCTAAAATTCACAAATTATCATCAGATTTTCTTTATGACTGTACTTTGAAAAAATGAGATATGATGCTGAAGTAAACTACAAAAATATGAATGTGTAAATATTTATTAATATGAATATGTACTACTCCATAATATACCAACAAATATATTCCAAAATAAGTTGTATTTTATACATTTGATTTTACCATTTTAATTAAACGTTTATTATTAAATATAATTATTAGATACTTTTTTCAGTCATGCATTTTATCCTGTGATGGCTTAAAATAAACACTTATATGAAAACTTTCCTTGAAAATTGACAGATTTTTTTTTATAACATTTTGTATCCCCCCAATAATAATCATGGCAAATTAGAACAGTAGTGGACTTTTTTTAGGGATTGATATCAAAACATGTTGTTGAATCCAGTTCAGAATAATTCACATCAAATGAGAACACTAGAAATGAATGCCAAAATAATGTAACAAAAGCCTTTTTAAGATCATCAACAAAGGATGTGAGCTTTTTCTACTCACTATTAAAAGTTAATGAGCAGTTTTATTTCTTTCCTAACTATATACAATTTTATGCATTTTATTATGTTTTGTTTTATTATTTATTACTGGGGATACACATACATTAGTATTCTGTCCAATACTGAAAAGCTGATCTTTCCTTTTTTTCATGTAATGCCAGATTCTCGATTAAATATTAAAATTCGGCACTATTTTTTTAATAAATAAATAAAAACTAAAATCAGTCATTTTAAATGCTGCAAAAGAATTTAAGAATTTTAACATTATAATATACAGTATGAAAAATTTATATTTTATGTTAAGATTTGCTAAAGATTACATTTAACAGCGTAATTAAAGTTTAAGTAGTTTAAATGTAAAAATAGAGAAAATGAGCTGCACAATTAAATATATAGTAATTACATTAAAAAATGTTTTGCCTAAAAGCATTATGATATTGATGTTTATTGAGCATATATATTATGATATTTATTACTATTGGAACAGACTTTTTTGTGTCGCAACCCACCAGTTGAAAACCACTGATATTAAGTTTTCAGGATTTATGAAGATGGTAACAGTGAGTCTTTGCTCTCAGTGTTGTTCCCCAGACAAACGTTATAGTGAGTGGAGACAGGCCGAAGACTCGGGAGGAAACTTCACCGCGTGCATCGGACTCTTTAGAGAACCTACTCAGCAAGTGAGAACAGATTGTGTTTTTTTGCATAAATGAAATAGAAATGTCTCCTGTGTTTGCAAATCTATGCATTATGTATGCAAATACACTGAGAAGACGATTTCTGGATCTGTCGCACAGCTTCTCACAGTGAGGACAAGCTCTCTGTGTAATGGTGCTTTATTTTTTTGTTGCAGTACCGTTGGGCGAGGAAGACAGAAAACCATAGTGCTGAAGGTTCCAGTCCATGAAGAGATCCAGGAGGATCAGGAAAGCGGTTCTGAAACGAGCGATTCGGTGTCCAACAGCGGCCAGAATCAGAATACCAACAACGTAACGCTCATCACTCTCAACTCAGAGGGTAAGATTCACAAATGGGTTGTGTTTTGAGATTGGGTTTGTACAAGATGTTTTGGCAAGACACATTGAAGGTTAAGTTAGCAGATTTTCATTATTGGCCGACGCATGTGTCGCGGTGCTCACGTGAACAGCGTCAGAGACCGACATGGAAGAGAAGAAATTGTTGAATAAAGTCGTTATTTTTGCGCACAAAAAGTATTCCCGTCGCTTCATAACATTAAAGGGATACTCCACTTTTTTTGGAAATAGGCTCATTTTACAACTCCCCCAGAGTTAAACTGTTGAGTTTTACCGTTTTTGAATCCATTCAGCCGATCTCCGGTTCTGGCGGTACCACTTTTAGCATAGCTTAGCATACATCATTGAAGTGGACAAGACCATTAGCATTTCTAAAAAAAAAAATGACCAAAGAGTTTCGATATTTTTCCTATTTAAAACTTGACTCTTCTGTCGTTACATCGTGCACTAAGACCGACGGAAAATGTAAAGTTGCGATTTTCTAGGCTGATATGGCTAGGAAGTATACTCTCATTCCTGCGTAATAATCAAGAAACTTCACTGCCGTACCATGAGTGCAGCAGGCGTAATGATATGACGCAGCGCCTGAAAATAGTTCCGTTGTGTTGACAAGTTGTGTTAAGTTTTAAATAGGAAAAATATCGAAACTCTTTGGTCATTTTTTTTTTTAGAAATGCTAATGGTCTTGTCCACTTCAATGATGTATGCTAAGCTATGCTAAAAGTGGTACCGCCAGAACCGGAGATCGGCTGAATGGATTCAAAAACTGTAAAACTCAACAGTTTAACTCTGGGGGAGTTGTAAAATGAGCCTATTTCCAAAAAAAGTGGAGTATCCCTTTAAGGTTGAACCACTGTAGTCACCAGGGCTGAACCAATATTTAACTTTCTTAAATATTAGCAAAATTCGAATTATATTCGAATTCTTAAGGTAATACCTAATGTTCGAGGAAAAGAGTACTACTTTAGAGTATTGTCTCCCATGCCCACAAGAAGGCGTCAAAAACACCAGATGGTCAACTTGATCTGCAGCAAGTGTCGAGCGCTTTTTTTTTGGACAATGTTTCCAGCTGATGAAAACACACGCTCAGCTCTGACCGATGTGCCAGGTATGGTCAAGTGTGTCGTTGCACGATTTTTCGAATATTCGAAATTCACATTTTTTTTTACAGCCCTATTAGTCACATCGACTATTTTAACGATGTCTTTATTACCTTTCTCGGCCTTGAAAGTGGTGATAACATTGCAGCTTATGGGGGGTCCTACGGGTTTGGAATGATATGAGTGTAATAGGGCTGTAGTCAACCAAAGAAATCCTTAGTCGACCAAAGTCCTGTCCTGCGCAATGATCAGTCGACTAAAAAAAAAAAAAAAAAAAAAAAGCGATGTTTTGCATTTTTATTGAACATTTATTAAACAATTGTCATAGAGCATTTATAAAACAACAACGAAAAAACATCAATAATACATAAAACGATAATAATAATAATACAATTCTTTTAAAATTAAGTGCTTTTTTTTAACTGCAAAGTGAGGAGCACTGTCCTAGGTCTATAGTAACAGTCATAATCGCGCACCTGACCACACCACACGCTGCAAAAAATATAACTGCTAAAACTGCCAAATAATGAAAAAATCATAACAAAAGCTCTCGTTTATACAGGCTGTATATTCTTTTTTACTTTCAAAGCTATGGGTTAACTTTTGTCCAGCCGATCTAGGCCTTTTAAAACAAACACACAAAAAACCCAAATAGCCTAAAAAACAATCCTTATAACAATAGGCTGTAGGCTGTATAGTAGGAAGGCATATAGGTTTATTTTCGTTTTGTTACATTATTTAGGTTATTTTCAAACGCGTCAAGTGTACAAATAAAAACAAAAACATAAGAAAACACAATCTATTGAGTCAGCATAATAAAGCCGTTAAAGGGCCTGCTCACATATAGCGTCTTTTGCGCGCTCAAGTTCGTTATTTCAAATGTAGGCACGCGGTATGCGCGCTCATAATGGAAGCGACGCGCTCGTTTTTTCCAAGCGCGTCCGCGCCGCAGCAGCAGTGCAGCCAGCCACAGGTGCGGTTCTACGACGTGGTGCGCTAAACTGTGGCGCTGTTACAAAATAGCCTAAATTACAGCATTTAAAGTTGGGGATAAAACATAGGCTAATTATATTTAGAATACAGTAATATATAACGGCTTATAAAGGAATAAATACCAAGGAGTAAATCAATGAAAATTTATTTCTATAAAAAAAAAAAAAAAAGCAACTGGTCGACCAATTAGAATGTCAGTCGACCAAGACGGCATCGACCGATTAGTCGATTAGTCGACTAATAATACTTACTGAACTATCCCTTTAACAAGAGTAGAATATTAAAAACATTTCTTAGAACAATTAGGTGTTTACTCAATACTGTTGTTAAAGTCCCCGTGAACTGGAAGTTGCAAACGACTTTTCTCCAGTGTTGTGACGTATTTCCGAGAGAAACGGAATACTAAATGAGGCAAAATGGTGGGCGTGGCTTTTTTTCCAACTAGCACCTGATTGGATCTAGAAAAGTAGGTGTTTTCATTCAGCCTGTCTACTGTCAGTTGGAGGGGCGTGATTACGGATGTTAAGAAGACGCCCAAACCGTGAAACCTACGTCATCAGGCAAGGTCCTCCAACGCAGAGGGGAGGGGAAATTTCAGATTTTGATTAAAGATTACGAAGCCAAAAAATTTTTGGCTGGTGGCTGGCGCCACCATCTGTTGAACTTAGTTGCACCGGTGCTACGGCTCTCAAATGGTAGTCTGGAGCCCTGCATTTTATAGAGAATTTGATTGGACTAAAAGCGGTGTGGTGCAGGATGAGCCATCGATCTTATTAGTCTGTTTTCCAGAAGAGAAAGACTGTAAATGTGAAATCTACCAAAAGCTAATTTTGTCAACGTTAAGAAGTGCACTAGCATATAAACGTCCTCAAAGCTAACACACATGATCTAAAAGCCACCAAAAATTCCAATTTTGATTTTATGGCGTCTTTTAAAGGATATAATTTTTATAAGCCAATGGGAACCATTTGCTCTGAATTCAGCACAAACATGGCCTCACAAGAAGAGCAACCAATTTGAACAATTATTGAAAAGGTTTGAAGACATGGAAATCTTTGAAATCTGCACACATAAGATGATCGCGTGTGTTTGCATGTGTTTTGTCTGTGTGTGGTGGGGTGACTTTTAAGCATGGAAATGTAGCGTAAAACAACTTCAGGCTTAGTTAGTGATATCAAAGTGTACTCAACCAAAGCAACATTTGATGATTAATAATATAAACGTGTTTTGACTATCCACTAGTACTCCCTCGACACATTAAAAAAGCGTGTTACATCAACAATGTGTCTTGTGTAAGCCGTCTGGCCGTAAGTGATTCAGGGATGTATCTCTGGTCTGGAGGAGGTCTGGGATTAAAGGGTTTGTTTTGATTGCTTAACTTCTGCTTTTGCTTTTCTTATTATTTGACTGGGTTGTTTTGGAGTGGAGTCTGGGTTAGCTTGGTTAGTTCAAAGACGTTCCTCTGCAAATATTCACTCGTTCTCAGCTGTTTGTGATGATATCTAGTCAACGAATGGTACATTTGGTTCTTAAAAGGCTTTGCTTTTGTTTGTGTTGTGTTGTTTTCCTCTTGCTTTAACCTCATCCATGGTTTTGATGTAGGGGAGTGGGGTAAAATGGGTCATCCATCCCTTTAAACGAGCAAACTGTGCATCGTTTTTGTCATGTGACCATCTATTTAAAAAGTGGATATTCTTTACAGCTGCCTGTGATTGAGAGATTCACATGGGGGAAACATGTTTTTTTAAAATAAATTATGTAGATTATTATTTTCAATTATGTTCTGTTCTGTTTCTCTACAATTTATTATAATATAATATGTAGTATAATTTAATTAGTGCTGTCGAATCGATTAATCGCATCTAAGAAAAGTTTTTGTTTACATAATAGATGTGTGTTTATATATATATATATATATATAAACACACACACACATTTATACAAAATGTAAATCTATATGTAAAATATAATAATATATATGCACACGTATTGTGCAAACAAAAATGTTTATGTTAGATGCGATTAATCGGGATTATGATTATAATTGATTGGACAGCACTAAATATAATATAATATAATATAAGAAGTATAAGTGGCCATCTTATACAGCTGCCTGTGATGGAAAGATTTACATGGGAAAAAAAAAATATTTTTGTTAAGGTAGAAATATGTATTTGCTTGAAAATCTATAATAATTAAATTATATATGAATAATTAAATTAATATTAAAAATTCCAGATTGCAAATGACAAAAAGTTGATAATTGTTTCACTACATCCATCTTGGGTTTATGGAAATGTAAATATATTATTAACATCATAATGCAAATATATGATCTACATTCATATTTTTATTTTGTAAATCGTAAATAAAATAAATGTAAATCGTCCACGCATTCCTTAACTTACCTCTTGACCTGAACCAATTTACTCCCTAACATGGTTTTCACACTCACGCTTTGACAATCCATGATAAACTTTAACCGACCCGCCATAAACCCTGCCAGCTATAGCCGAAGCAATGTTTGGCATGTCCTACACATACAAATATTGAACAGAAATGCCAAATAAAATAGTTTCTGAGATAAAATATGCCACAATATTTTTTCTTGAAACACTCACGATGAGAACGCATTCATGTAATATTTCGATTCTTAGTGTGAAGAAGAAATTTGATGGTCTTACTGTTAAACTTCAATCAACATTTTTAACCATGCCAAATTCTTGTCCATATAAAGACAGCGTCTCTTTCTAAAGGGAGTAAACCAGTAATGCTGTTGTGAAGTGTTTGTTTGGAGAGCCAGCAGGGGACACTCTTGCATTTGCTCTGAGCGTTTGGAGTGTGTTGAGAATCCAGAGGCGTCGAGGGCCATGTTCTCACACCCTCCACAGATATTTGGGATTAGTGGTCGACTAATGTTGAAAACAATGGCTTATTACATTTGTTTCCACTCCAATCCTGAATATGTTGTTATGACCTTGTGAGAGTCATGTTTTATTATATCTACCCCAGTGATCAGCAGGCTAGATCAAACTTTTGTTGCCAAATATCAAATATTGTAATATAATATACTATGTTGTTTAATAATATTCTGACCCATTTGCAAGGTTGCACCTTCCTAAAATATAAAGGCAGCTACATATTTTCATTTATTAAGACATTTATACTGTGTGAGAAATATTGTTAAGAGTAATATTATAAAGGGAAAACATGTTTCCAGAGTTAAATAATTGGCATTTATATTCTAACTGCACTAAAATAATGCAAATTAATATATAATTAACAAAATAAAAAATATAATTTGGAAAAATTCTATAATTTTGTGTATCCTTTTTTACTCATTATTAGCAGTGTTATTTTATGTTTATTAATATATCTGCTTTTAAATTCTCCCCTTTGTCCAGTTTTATTTATGTGCTTTTGTATTATTTTTGTTTTATTATTTTTTTGTTTCAGTCTTAGTAATTTGAGTACTTCAACACTTGTATTTCAGTTACAACAATTCCAACTGTCGTTTAAGTAATTAAGTATTTTAGTTAACTGTAACAACAATGATTATTAGATTACAGTTAGATAATTAAAAAACATTTTCAGTTAAATAATAATAACTTAAATAATCATTAATAGTCTATAATGCCATAAAACCCTCAGTTCACAAAAATTGTACCTTAAAAAAAAGGCACAAAAACACTTAAAAATACATTTTGATCAATTGAATAAAATAAGTGTTTATCAATTCAATTCTCAAATCAATTCTCAAATATTGTATGGGCCTTCTGGCACCCCCTTGTGGCCCCCGTTGGTCCCCGGACCCCAGTTTCAATAGCCCTGATCTACAATAGCCCTGATCTACAATAGCCCTGATCTACAATAGCCCTGATCTACAATAGCCCTGATCTACATTCCTTTAGACGCATCATGCCCAGATAAATCAAATTTAAGCCCTTCTATGTTTTTGTTGTTGTTCTTTAGTCATGTTTTATCCTATTTAAGGCCCCAAGTGAGCTGTTGGCCCACATTGGAAAAACAGTCTGATTAGTATACATAGAGTTATTCATATTCAGCATCCTCTCATTTAATCAAAAAGCTTCATAATTACATAACTCAAGTTACCTGTTAACAAGGCAATACTGTGTACGTTTGGGAACACATTTTTGTAATTGCAACTTACATCTTTGTTTTTCCTCCACAGAGGACTATCCAACAGGAACGTGGCTCGGTGACGAGAACAACCCTGAGATGCGCGTGCGCTGCCCGGTGTCTCCAGCAGACATGTTGCACATCAGCACCAACTGCCGCACGGCGGAGAAAATGGCCCTGACGCTGCTGGACTACCTGTTCCACCGCGAGGTGCAGGCCGTCTCCAACCTGTCCGGCCAGGGCAAGCACGGCAAGAAACAGCTGGACCCTCTCATGATCTACGGCATTCGGTGTAAGTCTATTAAAAGAACAACACGAGTGTGATTTACAGTCTTGTTGATCGACTGATTAACGATTCTTTATGTTGTCGTATGAGCAGCCAGTCAGTAAACACACTAATTTAGGTGTTACACACTATGTCAAGTTATAAGCTATATGTGTTTGATTCGGTAGAAAGAACTGACTCGTAAGTGTCAGTAACTTGACAATCAGATTGGTTTTGATTCACTAAAAAGAATCAGTTCATAAGAGTCGTTTGTTTGAGATTCAGATTACACTGATTAGCTGTGTCTGAAATCACATACTCTCTTGAGTTGGTGCTTATTTTGAATAAGTAATTACTCCACGACCACTAAAAAAGTATGTTCTGTATAGTATGAATGTAATCTGGACGCACTACAGTCGTCATGTTGTCATTATCATGTGACCTACCAGCGTCAGTTATGTTGCTTCACTGCCATTCACGAATCCTCTATAGTGGCCTCATGGGACAGTACATTTACATTTATTCATTTAGCAGACGCTTTTATCCAAAAGCGACTTACAAATGAGAACAATAGAAGCAGTTAAACTAACAGTAGGACAACAATACGCAAGTGCTATAACCCCTCTCAGTTTAATTTTAGTGCAGGCTTTTTTTTTTTTTTTTAAATAGAGGAGAAGAGAAAGTGTTAGTACTACTGAATCAAGTGCTGCCAAAAAAGATATGTCTTCAGCAGTTTCTTGAAAGTGGCTACTGACTCAGAAGCTCTGGTTGAGTTAGGCAGATCATTCCACCAGCAGGGAACAGCCATGGTAAAGGTCCGAGAAAGAGATTTTGTGCCTCTTTGAGATGGTACCACAAGACGACATTCGCTAGCAGAGCGCAAGTTTCTGGATGGCACATAAGTCTGAAGTAATGAGTTTAGGTAAAAGGGAGCAGTGCCAGTGGTTGTTCTGTAGGCAAACGTCAGTGCCTTGAATTTAATGCGAGCGGCAACTGGCAACCAGTGCAATTGTGTGAGGAGAGGAGTGACGTGTGCTCTCTTCGGCTCATTAAAGAGTACTCTGGCTGCAGCATTCTGGATCAATTGTAGAGGTTTGACAGCAAGCTGGAAGACCAGCCAGGAGAGCATTACAATAGTCCAGTCTGGATAAAACAAGCGCTTGGACAAGGAGTTGTGTGGCATGCTCTGTAAGGAAGGGCCTGATCCTCCTAATGTTGTGCAAGGCAAATCTGCAGGACCGGGCAGTTCAAGCAATATGGTCTGTGAATTTCAACTGATCATCAATTACAACCCCAAGGTTCCTAGCTGACCTTGATGGAGTTATGGATGACGAGCCTAGCTGAATGGAGAAGTTGTGATGAAGTGTTGGGTTGGCCGGGACCACAAGTAGCTCTGTCTTCGCAAGGTTTAGTTGAAGGTGGTGGTCTTTCATCCAGCCAGAGATGTCTGTCAGGCAGGCTGAGATACGAGCAGCTACCGTCGGATCATCAGGCTGGAATGAGAGGTAGAGTTGTGTGTCATCAGCGTAGCAATGATAGGAAAAGCCATGTTTCTGAATCACAGATCCTAGTGATGTCACGTAGATGGAAAAGAGAAGTGGTCCAAGCACTGAGCCCTGAGGCACCCCAGTAGCTAGATGTTGGGTCTTAGATGCCACACCTCTCCACGACACCCTAAAGGACCTACCTGAGAGGTAAGACTCGAACCATTGGAGTGCAGTTCCCGAGATGCCCTTCATCTTTAGGATTGACAGGAGGATCTGGTGGTCAACTGTGTCAAAAGCAGCAGACAGATCCAGCAGGATGAGGACTGAGGATTTGGAAGCTGCTCTTGCCATTCTCAGAGCTTCAATTACTGAGAGCAGGGCAGTCTCAGTTGAGTGTCCGCTTTTGAAACCCGACTGATTGTTGTCCAAGAGGTTGTTCTGTGTAAGAAAGGAGGAGATCTGGTTGAAAACAACTCGTTCAAGTGTTTTTGCGACAAATGGAAGAAGAGATACCGGACAGTAAAGTGTTTATCATATGCACACTTCAGAATCAGTAGCAGGACATCCGGGGACTTTTTGCCTAGTATTTTTACGAGTACTGTGAATTCAGACATACTTGTCATGTACTGTTTTTCGCCTACTATATAGTAGGGAAGTATGCGATTTCGGATGCAGACATTGCAATGTATGCTTTTGAATCACTGAAAAGAACCAGTTCATAAGAGTCATTTATATGGGGATCTGATTACACTGATTGCACTGCATGGTTTCGATTCACTCAAAAGAACCACTTCATAAGAGTCATTAGTGCGGGTATCGGACCATACTTGTCAATGCTGTAAGGTTTTGATCCCTGGCTAATAAGACTCATTTGTTTAGGAATCAGACAACACTGGTTGCAAAATGATTGCACTGTGTGGTTTTGATTCACTAAAAAGAGCCAGTTCATAAGAGTCATTTTTGGGGAATTTGATTACACCGATAGCACTGTATGGTTTTGAATCATTAAAGGAACTTATGGCTCATAAGATTCATTTCTTTTGGATTTGGACCACACTGGTTTTGCAGAATATTTTAAATTCAATGAAAAGAAAATCATTCGTTTTTTTTGTTGTATTTGTAATTAACCAGTTTTGAAGCCTATCACAAACCCTGTCTGTGACAAATCTGGTCTTTGATCATATATCAGTTCAGTTTAATTCAGTTTTGTCCTGTCTAATTCAAATCATTTCAGTACTCAAGTAGCTCATCTGCGGTTCTGCCTCATCCTCGACACCAGACTTATTTTCCCCACATGAGATAATTAGTAAGGTCTCTAACCGCTCCTCTTATTCACAACAAATCTTCTGTCACGTCAATATGTTGGTCAATTCCAGCAACAAGCCATAACATCGTAAAATGATGTATACGAGGAATGTTACGTGCAGTTTTGCACTAACAAACCCTATTTGACAGCGGCTAACGTGAATTAGCTTAGAGCTGTTTGTTTGCATGTTTATTTCTGCTTCAAAGTGCAATGAGTTAATTTGTTTGCAGCATAATCGCATGGCTAAATATTACATCAGTGTTTCCTCCCTTATTTCCTCACAGATTATATCACGGCTGCAATGTTCTGTATGTCAGTGTTCAATTGGCCATTTTCTTTTGCAAACATTACTACCTTATTTTTGAGCAGAATTAGACAAAATTCTGTATATTTAATAAGCAGCTTTGTTCGCCGCAACACATTACAAGCTTTTCAAACATGGTTGCTAACTGCTATGCTAAGTTATGCTAACCACATATGCACTAACGTTAGAACAGTAATCCAAACAACTACTGTTCTCAATGTTTTGGTCAGTTGGCCATTTTTATTAGCAAACATTATTTTTAAGCATGTGTGTTAACTGCTAAGAACAAGATCTTGACAAAATTCTGTATATTTAATAAGCAATACCAACCAAACATGCTTGGTAACTGCTATAATATGAATCAGATAGATTTTTTAAAATATTTAAACTGCACCGTTTCATTTTTTGTTTGTTTGCATACTTTACAATACTATGCTAAGTACATGTGCGCTAACTGCTGGAACATGAATTTTAAAATTACGTCAGTGTTTCGTTCATTATTTCCTGACACATTTTATCATGATTGCAATGTTCTGAATATCAATGTTTTGATCAAATGGCCATTTTCATTTGCAAACATTACTATATCATATATTAAAGCAATAAGCCCCGCGAAGCCGTGTTTACAGTGAATTTAGAACAGCTAAGGGGCGTTGTTAGGCATGTTGTTAGTGCCTTAGCTGTTCTAAATTCTCTGTAAAACCTGGCTTCAGGGGGTTTATTGCTTTTATAAAATGGTTACTCCATACAAATATTCACCAGCAACAAAAAATATAACGTTATAACACATGTATTCCTCCGCCAAGCAATGTAGTTCCAAAGAGGTTGCCAAGCAACACATGCAGCAACAAAGAATCACATTCATGTTTGTTGAGTAATTTACAACGGCTTTGAACGCCTCTCAACCAATCAGAATCAAGGACCGGAACTATCCATTTTTATAATTAAGCATGTGTGTTAACTGTTAAAAACAAGCTGTTGAAAACGTGTTTTCGTCAAACAACCTTTGTTCACAAAACATTACAACATTTTTAAACAATTGAACAGAATATGAATGTGAATTTTTTTTAGATTTGTCTAGCAGCAATGTTTCGTCTTTGTTTTGCACACTTTACAATACCATGCTAAGTGCATGTGCATTAACCGCTAGAACATGAATTCGAAAACCTTCGAAACAGTGACTTCCCCGATTGCAGCAACTTAGATATTTTGCGCCAATTTCTGCACCAATTTTGCGCCCCCACATGAACACATGGTATGGAAAAGCTGCTTTATTCACAAATGTTTTATGCGATATTCCATTTTTGCACGTCACAACTTTGGATGGAAACATAGCTAGTGTTTTGCCCCTTATTTCATGACTGATTTTGTCATGGTATCAATGTTGTGAATGTCTCTGTCTCTGTGCAACCAGGTCACCTGTTCTACAAGTTCACCATTACCGAGTCCGACTGGTACCGTATCAAGCAGAGCATTGATTCCAAGTGTCGAACCGCTTGGCGTCGGAAGCAGCGAGGACAGAGTTTGGCCGTTAAGAGTTTCTCACGACGGACTCCCGCCTCGCAGAACAGCACAGGTATGGACCCCTGCACCCTTTCCCGCCAATTCTGTCTCTTGGGAAACCTACAAGCCCTGTTTCTCTATGATTTTGATGCTAAGTGTCTAGGCCCAGCTGGTTTGTGTTCAATTGAACATAAACATATGCTGAGAGCGAGTGAGTGTGTGCGCGAGAGAAAATACGCGATGTGCTAGTTGGCCATCGAATTAGCTATGTGTATAACCTCCTGTCCATTTGTGCAAACGTCGTGTACATTACGCGCCGCACATGCACCCCCATGTGTTTATTTGCACACTCATGTTTGTGTGCGAGAGAAAACCTCTGACTGATGTTTCCTCAACTAACAGATGGTTCGAATCTCAGGACAACGCCTCACGTCCTGTCCCTTCCTCTCAGAGATTCACAGGCCTTCACCTTTGACCCATTTTGGACTAACACAAATATCCTGTATTGGTTCTCCACAATGGTCCATACACTTACGATTGCTTCACCTCCTTCTGTTGTCCATGTCCAGCTGGAATAGGCCTCCCTGCGTTTGATTAAACTTTTATCTTATGAACAAGCCAACTGGTGCTCAGCCTTCTTTCAAACCAAAATCGAAGTGTTAGGAACATGTGGACTATAAAAGGAACAAAGTGTTTCCGCCAGACAGCAAAAATATCCATTTTTTTAATGTGCAGGAATGGAGAAAATAAGATGCAAACCCTGCTGTAGCTCTCACAATTCTGTATATATATTGGAAAATACTTTTGCTTTTTGCATTTTTAAAGGGATAGTTCACCCAAAAATGGAAATTCTGTCATCATTTACTCATCCTCGTGTCGTTTTAATCCCATAAGCCTTTTGTTCCGTGTTGTTGAACACAAAGCTTTTCAATCTTCTGTTTATTTAGCTATAGCAATAGTATGATGCCTTGAGGGATTTCCTGGAATGACGTGCGTTATCCTCCTTCTGCGGGGCATATATGGAGTTTCTGGCTTTCAGATGAAGCAGCTTTTACTCCTGATCACAGAGCCGTGCTGCACTGACAAGCTGCACATATAATAATCACAGTCCTT